CCAATTTTAGATTTGATAATTTTAAGTAAATTTCAAGTGAATTTTAGACTTAACAATTTTGAACGTAACAATTTCAAGTTTTGGAACTTTAATAATTTTGGAATTTCAAATGAAACATTTTCTATTGGCACTAAATGATTGATGAAATATGAGAATACAAATACATTATGTTAGTATACGTATATTAGAGACAGATTCAAATTTTTCTCATGGAATTAGACCATCTTCTCTTACTATTTCGAGTAAAGTTAACTTGGTACAGTAAAGTACATTTTATACATTTGATACTGTTTTAAGTAAATTTTAGACTTAGTAGTTTTTTTAAGCCAATTTTAGATTTGATAATTTTAAGTAAATTTCAAGTAAATTTTAGACTTAACAATTTTGAACGTAACAATTTCAAGTTTTGGAACTTTAATGATTTTGGAATTTCAAATGAAACATTTTCTATTGGCACTAACTGATTGATGAAATATCAGAGTACAAATACATTATGTTAGTATACGTATATTAGAGACAGATTCAAATTTTTCTAATGGAATTAAACAAAAACATAAGCAAACTGACTAAAGGCAAGTCCACTCTGAGAATTTTTAAATAGGCAATTGATAAATAATTTTAATAGGTCGCAACAAATAATTGTGTCACTCTTCAAAATGTTTGAAGCAAAAAAGATACGTGGACTTTCAGTTTCACAGTTCAATTTCTTTCAGGCCAGTTATTCAGTAGTTTTATAACCACGTTTCAATTTCTAATCGCGATCACTGCTATGACAAAGAATTGGCAAGACTGAAATAAAAAGTTCTTACTGATTTACAAATAGACACGTGTCTATTATGTTAAAATGTACGATATTTTCGGTATCTCAATTACAGAATTATTTACGAGCATTTAAAGTTGATTTTCATTGATAAGAACAGGTTTCTCCACTTCAAACCGTTGATATTTCAATAATGTCTATTGCTATTTCAGTAATAGTTTTAGATAATACATTTGCGCTTGTAAATTAGTAGGTATCTTTCACCTCGAATGTTTCAATTCTCTACTAGTCGAATAACAACACTGCAATCTTGCAAAATTCCATCTGAATAAAACTTCAAATATATGGCTGGAAAATCGCATTCATGTATTTCAAGAATACTGGAACAATTCATTCGCTAATTATTTATGAAGAAAAATTCACAAAATTGTTATTTATTTATTTTTTGTCAGCTTAGGATGATTTCTCCTCCTAATCAACCCTTTACTATTAACTGAACTTGCTGCTTTTATAGACGCATCTGATAGCTATATTATTCTGCCCACTTTATATCAAAAATTTTATCCCCAGTTATTATATATATATATATATATATATATATATATAAATAAATTAAACAATTAAAATTTATATAAATTTACTTATTTAAGTTTAAATATTAAAATTTATATAAACTTACTTATTTAAGTTTAAATATTAAAATTTATATAAATTTACTTATTTAAGTTTAAATATTAAAATTTATATAAACTTACTTATTTAAGTTTAAATATTGAAATTTATATAAATTTACTTATTTAAGTTTAATTTATTTATATATGTATATATAAATAAATTAAACAATTAAAATTTATATAAATTTACTTATTTAAGTTTAAATATTAAAATTTATATAAACTTACTTATTTAAGTTTAAATATTAAAATTTATATAAATTTACTTATTTAAGTTTAAATATTAAAATTTATATAAACTTACTTATTTAAGTTTAAATATTGAAATTTATGTAAATTTACTTATTTAAGTTTAATTTATTTATATATGTATATATAAATAAATTAAACAATTAAGATTTATATAAATAATTTAGTTGTTATATAAATAAATTAATATATTATAAACGTCGACTTTTATATCTACACAATGAAATATTTAATTTTCGTCAGACAAAAGTGCGAAAGCAACATTATTTCACAGTGCTACCTATTTGTTATTTAGTTATCTATGTCATTTTTGAAGTGAGTCACCGTAGCAATCAATATGTGTTCACATACCCGTATTATAAGTAAAATTTTCACTCGGCTCGAGGATTATTCCACTTCGCGATGCAAATGGCTTAAATTTTCATCGAACGGCTCGCGAAGCGAACGAAACGCGACACGTCGTTCGTGTCGAAGTTTATAATGCCCCGACGGTCGAACGCTTCCCCGTGGTACGTGGCAGAGAGAGAAAAATCGTGCGAGGAAGCACGGCAAAAAAGAAAGAAAGAAAAAGAAACAAACAAAAAAAAAAAAAAAAACACCGCAGTTGTGGTCCGTAGACTCTTCTCGAGAGGGAGATATTTTTTTTTTTTTTTTCTTTGCCAGTGACAAAACCAAAAAACGGTAGCATGTAGCCACACCACATCGAGATAGAGAAAGAGAGAGATAGAGAGAGAGAGAGAGAGAAAGAGAGAAAAAAAAAGGAAAAAACAGGTACTGTGTGTGCTGAGTCGCGGCGCGCGTGTGTGTGTACACGCGTGTGTTTTACACTTGTGTATTTATAAAAAATATATATATATAGATCTATACAGAGAGAAAGGTACAGAGAAGGGAATGCCCCGTGAAAGAACGGTAAAGAAAAGAAAAAAACGCGAATATCTCGTCCAAGACACAGCCTGGGCGAGATACATTTTAAACTCTCCTGAGAATTTTCGACGAAATTTTACGATTCGAAAAAAAAAAAGAAAAAAAGAAAAAAACAATTGGAGACGTTCCCTTTCTCTGTGCATCGACGTTCGTCGTAAAAATCAATCAGGTGTGGTGCTGTTCACGCTCGATGTCCTCGCGGGTGCCACTCAAAAAACACATCGGTGAGGCAAAAATACAAAAATACGCGTCGGTGTGTCTCCCTCTCGCCGAATAACACTCAGCTCGTTTCGATAAAAAAGAAAGGAAAAAAAAAAATATATATATATAGATATGTATATATATGTACGTGTTCGTCGTTTGTATTGGCGAACTTGTAAGCGAAAGACGACCGCCACCAAAAAGCTCGTCGGGGGATGAAAACGAAATAAAAGACGACCCGAGGTTTTTCGCGTTAACCTGTCAATTGTGTTTGAGGAAACTTGTGTTAAATTATAAATTAAATTCGAAGTTTATTATTGCAAGATTTGCACTTCTAGATATTTATTTATTTTAAAATAGAGCAGCGTGACAATTGCTTTTAAAATATCTATCGTTAGAATGAAAGAAGAAGTTTGTCTGGCTTAGTTCGGACTCGACGATCTTCATTGTTCTCAAACTAAAAAGCAATTTCAATTTTTTAAACATTTATCGCAAACATTACGTATTTGTTTCTTCTTGTTTTTTATTTAAGGAAATTAAAAGTGCTCAAAAGTTTCTATTCGTTGAAGATTTTTCAAACGTGCACATTAAATTGCATTTGCAGGTGTGTATTCACTTCGCGTCACTGACGAGAATGATCTTTCAGTTTCAATTACACAGTTAACAGGTTAAAAACGAAAATCATGTTCCTCGTGCCTCGCTATAATATTCTAGGAACCGGTGTGCCCGAGGAATATCGATTGGCGCGAGGAACACGCCGACGGAGACACTCGAGTCGATTAAAAAAAAAAAAAAAGAAAAAAATTACCAACGGAGAAAGTAACCCCAGTATTAAAAAAAAAAAAAATGAATGCAAACGAAGGATACTGGAACTTAAGGCGAAAAAACCGCGCGAATCCCGGTGCTTCGTGTGCTCGCAAATAGTCCAATGCACCGGGTTTCGTGCGTACAAGCGAAACCAAGGAAACCAAAAGCGTTAATACCAAACGAGAGTAAAGAAAAAGTAGGGTGCGGTCGTTTCGGTGAAAGGGTGGCTTCGTCCGATCGGACACATACTACTGCGCCGATATATATATACATGTACATATATAATTGGGAGGAAACACACATTTCGAAACCAGAAACGACCGCTGTCTCGTAAAAGTAGAATTTCCTGTAAACGTCAGACGCGCGTCGACGCATGCGCAGAGTCGCGATTTTCAGTTGCGCAGGTGCGTCCAATCGAAAAGTCTCTGGCGCATGCGTCAAAGCGCCTCTGCGCATGCGCCTGACGTTTGAAGGAAATTTCAACTTAACTCATTGGGCGAGCAAACTATATTCAACATTTAATTATGTTTGAGTACTTAAACTTTTGATGCTGGAATATACTTGAATAATGATTTTTAAATTTCACCAAATTATAGATAAAACAGAGAAACATTAATGACAAAGATATTGACACTAGGGCTGCTAGAAACGTTCTTATACTTTCCAGAGATTTGAATGACTTTTAACAAAATATGACTAAAAGCTCGTATAATTCATTGAATTGTAAAATACCTGCTGCTTGAAAGACAAGAACACAATCGATCTAATTATTTCTGAATATTCTCTCAGTTCAAAACTTGATTCGACAAATGTTTTTATCTAATGAAACTTCAAATGTGAATACTATCACCTAACCTAAAAAATCAATTGCAACCAAGGACATTGGCCCACGATGAGTTAAGCACTCTGACAAAAAAAACATTTCACCGCGGGAAGAAACCGAAGAAAATCCCCAAACCAGAAAGTAACCGCAAACGAACCAAAACCAACTGAACGAAAACAGATGAAAAAGAAAAAGAAAAAGAAAAAAAGAAAAGGGAAAGGTGGTAGGCGTGCCGCTTACCGGCGGACGTCCTCGACTTGTTCCTGGGCTTTTGCTGCTGCTGCTGCTGCGCGGACGGCGAGCTCGGCGTGTTGGCGTGCGCGTGACCGACCAACAACTTCGAGTCGACGTTTACGCCGGCCACGCCGGCCGCGTTGCCAGCACCGGCGGCGGCCGCGGCCGCTGCCGCCGCGTGATGCCCGAATATACCGGTAACCGCGGTCCCGTTGTGCGGATTGTGGGACGAAGACGACGAAGACGACGAGGAGGCGCCGTGATGATGGTGATGGTGATGATGGTGGGTGGTACTAGGATACTGCAGGTGCTGGTACATGTTATAGGCGCTGGTTGCCGGGTCGTACTGGGATCCGGAGGTGGCGTGGTGGGTGTTGGAAGCAGCGGCGGCCGCGGCCGCGGCTGCGGCGGCGGCTGCGGCCGCGTAACTGTCCCTGCACGACGGTGAGCTAGCGCCACCGCCGCCACCACCGCCACCGCCGCCCGCCCCCACGTTGTTCCCCTGATACGCCGCCTCTTGCTGCTGTTGCTGCTGTTGCTGCTGCTGCTGCTGCTGCTGTTGCTGCTGTTGCTGCTGTTGCGCGGTGCTCGCCTGTTGGCTGCCGGACACGTTGCCCGATTGGTTATTACCTTCGCGTTGCTTCACCTGGCCGGTCCCTCCGCCGCCGTTCCCACCGGTCCCGCCGTTCCCCGCGTTCGTCGTCCCGTTGTGCTGCTGATGCGGCGGCGACGGCGCCCCGTGATGGTGGCCGAGCATCACGCTTGGCTTCACGTCGCAGGAACTCGCGCCACCGGCGCCAAGCGCGTCCTGATGATGCATGAACACGCCCATCGCCGCCGCGTGCGCCACCGCCGCTTGGTACTCGCTGCTCGCGCCGCCACCCAGCCCCGACAGCGGGTTGCTGGCGTTGTTGTTCGTGTTGTTGTTGTTGTTGTTGGCGCTGCTGGTGTTGTTGTTGTTGTTGGTACTGCTGGACGTGGTGCTGGCGGTGATGCTGTCGGGGGTGGCGTCTTTCGGCGGCGTCGGCGGGAATGAGAAGAGGTGGTGACCGGTGCCGGCACCGCCGTGACTCGACAGGCTGCCGGTGCTCGGTGGTAACGAGGAACCAAGGGGACTCTGCGGTTTGTCGTCGCTGATCGCGCCGCCGCCGGTCGAGCCGGTGCTCGTCGGGAATCCCCACGGTGTTTTCGACGTGTCCGCGCCGCTGCCGGACAGCCACGGGTGCAACACCGAGCTGTGGAAGTGCGGCCGACAGACCTGGCTCACCGGGCCGCTCGTCACGCCGCTGCCCGACATCCTTGCTGGAAGAAGAACGAAAACAGATCGTGAAACTCTTGAATTCTCTACGTGTTTCTTTGCAGAGGTGTCGTTTTAACCCCGAGGATGGAAATGTGGCGAACAAGTTTCAGGTTGATGGCACTTAACTGACAAATGCGACATTTAGACGAAGAGGTTTAGACGCCGCTGACTGACTGATTTTTTTTTTTGACACAAGTCTGGTACATAGATGACTTGCGTGTAACACAAAAATATCGTTATGAAAGAAATTGAAAACTGTATTCTAACTTGTTGTTTGAAGTGAACTGGACACTCTAATCAGTACACGTATGATGGCTTTTCTGATACACTGGGTTCTAAACCTGTTCGCTATGTTTTCACCCTTGGCATACTAAGCGAGATCCAATACACATCTTTATGCAGTTCAGTTAACCGACTACTGAACCTCGGCGTCCAGTGCCGGAGTCATTTCTGACTCACACGGATATCCCGATACTGTACAAAGTGTGATCCTCACAAACATGGTGACAGACTCATATAGAAACATGTAGAAGTGTAAAGAACAAATAATAGTCACATGTATAATAAAGTTATTTACAGTTATGTCATTTACTGTCAGGAACGTCTTGTGCAAATTGAGCGAAAGAAGAGGGAGAAAAATTGCTCGCTGGCAATAGAGGCACTGCGTCAACAAATAGAAACAAGTAATAAAAAAGAAGTAAAATAATAATAATAATAACAGTAAATTAATAATAAAAATAGTAAAATATCAGAATAGTGGTAAAAACGAAAGTCTAAATAGTAAATACAAAAATAATGCAAAATGCTAGATACAAAAAATAGGATAAAATACTAAAAACAAAAATGACACAAGCTATTGAGCACTAAATATTAAAATACTAAAGCAATAATAAAAACACTAGAGTATGAAATGAACTTTAAAATGAAAGAAAATTGCTTCGATCTTGCTGCCTTTCTTTTTCAGAACGTTACCAGAAACTGATTTTTTTCGTCTCTAGTCGTCGTCATTTTGGCAATTTGGCAAACACATGGCGCACATGATGCTCGTGCGTTAGTGCAAGCAACTCTCAGCACAGGTCAAAACTGTGACTCCGGCACAGGGTTGAAATATCTCGATGCGCTTAAATGGATTAACCGTAAAATGTGATGTATAAAGTTATTATCTCATTGAAAAATATTCAAAATATAATTTTCCACCCAGATTTCCATTCACGGATCTTCAACTTTACCAACAATTGTAAATTACCACAGCCATAGCCTGACGATGCTACTTAAGGGATTAATTATAATCATACAATTACAAACACTCGTCAATATCCACAATCTCGTTACCAGACTTATCTTCTACGGTTGTTTCTCATCCCTTACGTATTAGAATCGAATTCACGCGAAAGATGACGCCCATCTAATGGCCAGACATCTTCGAACAACGCACAACACCAAGGGAAGAAGAACCTGATTGGTTGGTCGTAGCGGGATGATCGTAAGAGTAATTGCCGAGGGAAATCTGAATTACGAATGTGAAGCGAGGGTTTATCATCCCCTCTCCCTTTGACATGGCCAATTGTACGTTCACTCTTTCTACAGGGTGGTCACTGAGAGGCTGAACGACATAAAACAAGAAGAACTTTTACAAACTCGTCTTTTAAATTTTTTAAATTATTATTACTTTATAAATTATTATTACTTTATAATTATTTTATTACTTTATAATTATTTTATTACTTTATAAATTTTTTATTACTTTATTGGAAATGTAAATATAATTAATGGACTTTTTAAGTATAATAATTATATTTATATAATAATTAATTATATTTATTATATTTATAATAATTAATTATATTTATTATATTTGTTATATTTAAAATATAAATATAATTACTCATATTATTAAATAATATAGTAATAATTGTAATAATTATATTTATTATAATTTATATTATTTACATTTTAAATATAATAAATATAATTATATAATATGAATATAATTAATGGACTTTTTAAGTATAATATTTATATTTACATTTACTTTATCATAGTTATTATATTTATAACATAAATATAATTATTTATATTATTACATAATATAGTAATAATTATATTTATATTTAATATAAATTATTTATATTACTATATAACATAGTAGTAATTATAATAATTATATTTATTACAATTTATATTATTCATACTTACAAAATTAACATAATTTTAAATAACAAAATATAATTATTTATATTATACAATATAATAATTATATTTATATTTAATTAATTATGTTTATTATACTTATAATATAAACATAATTATTTATATTATTACATGACATAGTAATAATTATAATAATTATATTTATATTTAATATCAATTATTTATATTATTATATAACATGGTAATAATTGTAATAATTATATTTATTATAATTTATATTATTTATATTTATATAGTCAATAACATAAAATATAATTATTTAAACTATTATATAATATAATAATTATATTTATTACAATTTATATTATTTACATTTTAAATATAATAAATATAATTATACAATATGAATATAATTAATGGACCTTTTAAGTATAACAACTATATTCATATTTAATTAATTACATTTATTATATTTATAATATAAACATAATTATTTATATTATTACATGATATAGTAATAATTACAATAATTATATTTATATTTAATATAAATTATTTATATTATATATTATAATAATTATATTCATTATAATTCACGTTATTTATATCATTTATATTTTAAATATAACAAATATAATTATACAATACGAATATAATTAATGGTCTTTGGAAAAACAACATCACTCAAGTGACCACCCATTTTTTTTCCTGCTAAAAAAGAATACACGCTCTTCCGAATCCCTTTTCTTCAGTTTCTTCAACGAGCCACCCTGTGTATACCTTTGTCTTTTGTGCATCAACAGTGACTCCGCCTCTAGCCAAGTATAATTAGCCCACCCGATTCATTAACGATTTCAACGGCAATGCGAATCCAGGATTCGCTCGCGTTTCCTCGAATCATCGCTTCTCTTCTCCCCTCCTCCTCCCCCCCCCCCTCCCACACCTCTTGGTTTCCGCGAAAAGGAATATCGTTTCGTGCAAATTCGTGACTCGGGGGCGCGCAAGCAAGCCTGCTTACGTCGGGAAACAAGTTGGACGAGCCGGCGATCGATATATCGAATGGTTCTTGCCGGCGTTGTGCTCCGCCACCTTGGCGGCATACGCTGATAACGAGAGAATGTTTTGCCAAACTACGTCGTCTCTCTCTCTCTCTCTCTCCCATTCTCTGTCCTCTTCCGCCGCACGGTTGAATTACGAGCATTAATTCGAGCTTCGAGTCGACGTCACGCTCCGTATTCCTCCGGCGAAAATTTATAGCCCACAATCCGTACACACACCCACGACCTCCTCCTCCTCCTCCTCCTCACTCTCCGGAGTTTCGCCGTTTTCGAAAACCGGATACCGATGCCAGCGAGAATCTCTTTGAAAGAGAGCGAGGATTGAGCGTTCGAATTCTGATGAATTATTAAGGTTAGAGACTGTTGATAATGTCTGGAGTAGTAACAATGGTTTGACGAATTTTTGTATATATTTGCAGGTGACGAATGCATTAATTATTGCGAAGACGAAAGAGGAAGATCTGGATACTGTCGAAACTGAAAATATCAGTGATTAGGAAATATCGATTCTACGCGCAATATTTTTAAAATAAGAGAAGCAGAAAAAATTTTATATATATATACTACCAAACATATATATTATATATATACTACCAAACGTATATATATATACCAATTATATATATACTACCAAACGTATATATACCAATTATATATATACTACCAAACGTATATATATACCAATTATATATATACTACCAAACGTATATATATATACCAATTATATATATACACTACCAAACATATATATACTAATTTTGTATATATACACTACCAAACATATATATACCAATTTTGTATATATACATATACTACCAATTATATATATATATATATATATATGTATACTACCAATTATATATATATATACGTATACTACCAATTATATATATATATATACGTATACTACCAATTTTATATATATATATACGTACACTACCAATTTTATATATATATATATAACTTCGAAGATTAATTTGCTGAAAGAACATTTTAACGATGAAAATTCTATTAACTTACTAGACACTTTCTAAAGTTGCGTTTACAATAGAAATGACATCTGCTGATCGTCTGAAAATACTCTATCAATTGAACGATTAAAAATCGTTTCAATGGTGCCTGCGCGAGAAAATTCTGAATCGCCACCGGCGATCGATCAAAAAAATCGCACGATGCGAACGAGATTTAGCCCAAGAACAAATTAAACGAATGAAAGAACGAGCAAACGAACGGCCGTTAAGTCAGAATTGACGCGGCGATTTCGAGTGAAAGATGAACATCGCCCCGGTTGCAGAAAAGTCGTCTAAATTTAGGAGCGCGAAACGTAATACGAAGAGGGGCCCCGCGACGAGGCAGCTGCAGCGTCACGCAATTAATCGAATGCGGCGAATGCTCCGCCTGTAATTGGATCTGCTGCATTAGACCGGCGGGAAGTAAACAAGAGAGAGAGAGTAAGACATCTTCTCTCGGCTCTCGCGATGGCCAATTTTCGCAAAAATCACGCGCGGCCTTTTAGTTTTTTTTTTTTTTCTAACGAGCCAGTTAGAGGCCGCCGACTGCTGCTCCATCCGTCAGTAAAAACGTTCGCGTTACGGGATATTTATCTCGTTGATGCTCCTCTCTTCACTCTCAACAGACCTCAGCCCCTCTTTTTCGTTCGTCACTTTATTCCCGCGCCGCTTTTTGCGCCATCTGTCTCGCAAATCGTTTGCACGTCGTCTCTCGTAAATCCACGGAACATTCTCCTCTCTCGTTTCTTTCGAGTTATTTCTTTTTTTTTTTCTTTTTTTTTT